TTCGACCCCCAAAGGGGTCGCAACCCACAGGTTGAGAACCGCTGCTATAGGGTTGAGAAGATTAATGAAATAAAACCTGATTATTAACATTAATATTTAGGAAAAAACAAGTAGAAGGAAATAACTCTACTATAGTAAATACGATTACTTCTAGATAATTTACAGGTGGCAAATTTCCTTTTTTCCCCTATTACTCAAATTTTCAACAATGATACTTTGTAGTATATAAAAGTTTCTCAACATTTGGTGCTGCAACAACTGAATATCCACATGCAAAAGAATGAAGTTGGATCCCTCTCTCCTACCATATACAAAAATTAATAGAAATGCATCAGAGACCTAAGTGTAAGAGCTAAAACTATAAAACTCTTATAAGAGTAAATCTTCATGATCTCAGATTAGGCAATGATTTCTTAGATATGACACCAAAAGCACAAGCGACTAAAAAAAAAAATTAAATTGACTTCATCAAAATTAAAAACTTTTTTGTTTTAAAGATCACCACTTAGAAGATGAAAAGACAATCCACAGAACGGGAGAAAATATCTGCAAATCATATATCTCATAAAGGTACAGTATCCAGAATATACGAAGAACTCTTAGAACTCAAGTAAAGACAAACAGCAATTAAAAAATGGACAAATTATTTAAACAGACATATTTCTAAAGAGATACACAAATGGCCAATAAGTACATGAAAACATGTTCAACATCATTAGCCATCAGGAAATGAGATACCACTTCATTTTGACTTCACCACTACTGGGATGGCTATAATAAAAAAGGTTGACAACAATAAGAGTTGAGTATGTGGAGCTATTGGAACCCTCATGTATTGCTGGTGGGAATGTAAAATAGTGCAGCCACTGTGGACAACAGCTTGGTGGTTCTTCAAAAAGTTAAATGACCCAGTAATTCTACTGCTTGTATACCCAAGAGAAATGAAAACATATGGTGATACAAAACCATGTACACCAGCAGGATTATTTACCAACAGCCAAAAAGTGGAAATAACCCAAATATCCATCAACTGATGAATGGATAAATAAAATGTGGTATATTCATATTATGGAATATTATTCAGCCATAAAAAAGGAATGAAGTACTGACATGCTACAACATGAACCTTGAAAACATGCTGAGTGAAAGCATCCAGTCCAAAAACACCCACATATTTTAAAATTCCATTCATATGAAATGTCCAGAATTGGCAAATCCAGACACAGAAAGTAGATTAGTGTTTGGCACTTAGGGACCTCGAGAAATAGGAAGTAACTGCTAACAGATACAGAGTTTCTTCTCGGGGTGATGAAAACGTTCGAGAATTAGACAGTGGTATTGGTTGTGCAACTCTGAATATACTAAAAATTACTGAAATGTACACTTTAGATGGGTGAATTGTATCTCAATAAAGCTGTCATTAAAAAAACAAACTGACACATAACATTATTAACTTCCAGTTTCTGACCTTCCTGGGGCTGTGTGTATAGCAGAAAGGGTCCTACCTTTGATTTTAGCTCCTGGCTTTATTAATGTGACTATGGGCCACTCACTCATCCATGCTGAGCCTAAGGTTTTTTATCTATAAAATGAAATGAATAAAAACCACCCAACCCCATCTCATACTTTAGGACAAAATTAGATAATACATATAAAAGAGTGTTTGTGAACTAGAAAGTGCTACATAAATTCAGGTGATGTCACTTCTACAGCTAGATTCTTCTATAGAAGAGTACAGACTATACAGTAGGAATAAAAGATCACTCCTGTTCAAGCTTTCCATAACTTGCTTTTACTTCAGCTTACTGTTGCCTTCATTTCTTGTAACTTTTTCTTCCTTAAATAGTGTATATTACAATCTTATATTTTTTAAAGCCAAAAAGAGTAACTGCTAAGCAGGGTTTGGGTAATAAAATACCCAGAACTAAGCAAATAGATGGGTAAAGCTATACTTCTTTTTGCTGCTAGCTTAAATGAATTCTCCCAAATCTTCAAATAAGAGCATATGACAGAAAATAATTAAGCAATGGTCTACAGACATTTAATTCTGTTACCTCTAGTGCGTGTATGGGGATTGAGCACCTCCCCCAGCCATTGAGATGGCAAAGAGAGTCCACAGTGCTGGCACTTCCATGGATCATCAGTCTATTTAAAAACTCCTCTTGAGTCAAACCAAATAAAATCAGAGAGAGTCCACTTTCTACAAGAAAAATAAAAGTTATTTTTAATAAAGTAGTAGGACTTAGATTTTAGGATTACGGCAGGAATTAATTTCTAATTACCCAATACCTCAGCACTACAATTACAAATATATTTACTGGACACCAGGCACTATTATGACCTTAATTCATCATGATTTTTCAATATCTTTAACGAAGAGTTCTATTTTTTAAACATTGATCATAAGGCAAATTCTACTAAGAATGCATTCTATGAAGTAGCACTCAATTTCACTTTTCTACTTTGTATTATCTTGCACAATCAATACCTGGAACCTTGAACTATTTACAGAGATGTCACATTTCTGGTTAACTAAAATAAAACAATTAACAGCATGCTCCTGACAAACAGAAATACATGATTACCAAAACTGGGGTACTGAAGACACACATGGTTCACTCACAACATTCAATAACTTTGTAGGAGGTTATGGCATAAATGCTGAATGAATGTGTTATCTAAAACTATCAAACCCAAATGCCTATATGGACCAAACAGGGGATGACAGATGTGCAAGAGAAACCTAATCAAAAAGAAACTGGCTCATCTAAGAGAACTGAAATTCCGCTCCAACCCATTACTCTGCAGAAACGCAGGTCCAGTATTGCCAGATCTTATTATTTCTCAGTAATAGCTGGAAATCCGGCTTTTGTGTGAAATCTGCTAATTTTACATATTTATAATAAATAAAATCTTATTTTAAAGTATAGATAGTACAAGTCAAACAAAATAAATCTGCAATACATACATGGCCCACAAGCAACCAGCTTACGACCTTTGCTTATACAGACTGAAGTCAAGTAAAGACGCCCCAGGTTAAAACCAACCTTTATTACTCCTGAACTTTCTCTGACTTAGTATCCTAGCATTTGGTTGAGCAGAAACCATATGAGAGAACATTACCATGAGTAACACCAAAGGTTGTCTAGGAAAGATTACCACTTAAGAGGACAGAGTAGACATGAACACAACCAGGGCAGCAGAAGTAAAATACATTAAGAAAACACACTTCTCAGCAATGGACTTCAACCTAATACAAGACATTCTTACCTGTCAAAATAAGGCACAGTTGCTGGTCTCCACTATTGTCTACAGGAATACACTTTTGGTCCAAGGAAAAGCACTGTATGCCCTGGGTTTCCAAATCCCAGAGGACAATGGTGCAGCCCATCCTTTCCATTGTCCAGGTAAACAGTGCAGTGAATCCTGTCACAGACACACATCTAAGCTCAGTGGGTTCCTCCTGTTCGCTGATGTGCATTATTTTCCATGCTTTTCCTGGATCACTGGTCTTGGCATGATCTTTCTGTGACAAATTATACTGACTGCACATTATGTCCTGTGAAGTGAAGGCCCAGCTTGGCATGCTTGTACTGTGAGTATTAGATTCAGGGGAATCCGAGTGCAAAATATCCTGGAACCATGGAGCACAACGGGAAACCTCTCGTCTGGAGCTCTTTATTGCTTCATTCAATGATGATAGCTGGGCTTTCCAAGACCTGGAAGATAGGTTAGAACTCACACATGTTACAAGTGAAAGGGGCTAAGTAAAATACTAAACCAGGAACAAGCTGTACTTAAAACAAAAAAACACTCCACCTCTGTAAAGACCTTTAGTGAAAAGGTATGGAGTAAGCAAGACAAAAAGGAAAATAAATAAATCTAAAAAGACGGTTTCTGTACCTATCCACTTGGAAGGAAAACTTGGTCAGTTTCATGTTGTAGTCAGAATTAACAGGATCATCTTCATCTATGCCCTTAGGGCCTTCAATAGGGATGTCTTCTAGAGTCCTTTCACATAATAGGTGTCCTGGGTGTTGCCTACATTTCAAAATAATAGCAATGGTCAAAAATGATGATCAAACCCAAATCTGTGTTACTACCGCTCCTGTTAAAAATGGGGGGTGGGGGGCGGTTAAGGGAGGTGTATCACAGTGAAGGAACAGTATAGACAATAAGTTATCCTAAATAGGACTCCTTCTTATCTCCATTACTTATAGCAGAATGACAAAGTCAACATTAAGAATTTAACTCATTTGTAACTATGTGTAGTGATGATGTTAGATTTACGTGATTTCACAACATATACTGAGTTATTATGTTGTACACCTGAAACCAATATGTCGTATGTCAATTGTGCCTCAATTAAAAAAAAAAGAATTTGACCCTTAAGGGCAGTTAGATTTATAAAGATATGAGCATTTATTGTCTACTATATTACAGATGTTGTGATAAAAAGTTTACATAAATTGCCTTATTTAAAAGCCTTTCAACAACCCTATGAAGTAAATATATCCCCATTTTATAGATATGGAAACTAAGGCCCAGAGAAACAGTCGAGCTGGATTTGAACCAGGTCAATGTGGCTATAAAGGTTTTTAAGCACTCACTATACCACCACCACAAAGATTGATTTAGGCTGATAAGGGAATATATAAAAACTAGGAAGGCAAAATGAGTGTGGGTGGAGGTGGAGAGCATATGCAGAAAGAGGGCTGTCACATTTGAAAACCACAAAGAAGGCTGGAGTGGCTAAAGTGTAGTGAATGAGAAGCAAGGTGGTATGAGATGAGGCTGGAGAGATTGGCAGGAGACAGATGGTGCAGGGCTTTATGGGTTGTTATTAAAGAGTTTTAATTTTTATCTTGGTGGGGGAAGGAAGCTAAATAGGGGTTTTAAGCAGAAAAGTGATATGATCAGATGCAAAAGAGTAGCTAGGGAGAAAGAGAGGCATTTAAATCCTGGGAGCACTTAGCTAAATTATTAACTATTAACTCTTCCAACAATTTGAAGGTAATACGTATGTTGACAGATTTGTCGAGATGAAGTTAAAGGCCCTGTGACAGTGGGAAAAGATGATACATGGAGAAGGTATATACCCTGTCCCCAGATGTTAATACCTGGCTATACCTCTGATGAGGTATGGATTTTAACATCACTCTGGTTACTCTACAGAAGATGAATCTGAAGGGGTGAGAACAGACACGTTAAGCTAATTCAGGTAAGTGATGATAGTGGCGTAAGTCAGGGGATGGCAGAGGAGTTAGGAAAGTTAAACAGGTTCAAGAAACATTTAGGAAGTATAATGGCTAGGACCTAGTGATTAACTGGATGTGGATCTAATACTTAAGAGGTTGGAAATATAGAAAAGAGAGGAAATGGAAAACAGTCCCTAAGGAGGGAAGAAATGGGATTCAGAGAATACAGAGGGATGGGCTTTCATAAGAGGGGAATCCCTCTGATGTAATAGGAGGGCTGACACAGAAGGTGGATGCAGGAAAGTGGGTTTATAATTTAATGTGAGGAACCACAGGAGCTCCCATTAGATGGGTTCTTTTTCCTTTATAAAGCAGGAGGCAAACTGATCTAAGAAGTTGAGGGTAAAGAGGTGAACAGATGTTTGGGGAAAATGGATGGGCTCATGAAAAAAAAATCATTGTAAAATTTCCTGGTAATATTGAGGGACCAGTTGAAAGTCATGAATGTGAACTTATAGTGATATCAAATTTTCTCTGTGGTTTCCTCATAAGTGCTTAGTTGCCTAGGTTCAGGGACAGTAAAAAGGCAGAGTTAAAAAAAAAAAGATTTTTTTCAGACCAAGTGTTACCATAGGGCAGGAGCAAGAGTTTAGGGGGCATGCAAGAAAGTGACTGAAATTATGGGTCACAGAACCTAGGCTGGAAAGGGAGGGAAGTGAAGACAGGAGTGGGCTGAAGAGTGAAAGGTCAAAGACTGGAAATTCCAATGACATCAAGTGACTGGTGAAGTGGGGGTGGGTACTTGAGTAAGTGGGCTGGAAAATTTGGGAAGTTGTAGTCAGTGAGTGAGATGTGTAGACTAGTGATTTGGGGGAGGAGCAGTTTCAAATACTGACAAAGCCCAAGGCATGACTATGAGAGTGGACAGCCAAGGTAAATTGGAAGAAAAAGTCACTGACAGTGAACTGAGAGAAAAAATGAGTTTGGGTTCTCAAGGAGCTTACATGAAACATGAAAAAAATAGGGAGATCATACAAGATTATACAATTAAGTGATAAATGGTAGTTCAAAGCAGAAGTGCTGCAGAAGTTCGCAGAGGAGAAAAGTTATACAGTGAGTAATAAAATTACAAGAGGAAGGGGTTCTAGTAAGGAAACACTTCATGACAGAGGTGGATTTCAAAGAATGAACAAGACTTGATAAAATGAAAGAGACTGGCATTCTGTATCAGGGGAAAGAAGAGTTAGAGGCAGGAACGATGGAAACAGTTTTAGATTGCAGAGCAGACTTAGCAAATATAAAACATGCAGGCAATTCCAGAGAAATTCTACTAATTAAAGAGCATTTATGTAAATAATAAACAGATCTTGCTCATTCAGCTGGACAAGACAGATCCCTAAGTTTACTGCAGGGAACAGAACAGTAGCTCTTCTTTGGCTGATGTGACAGCAGCTGAATTCAATGAAATTGTTCAAAGGAATGTGCCTGGTGCCCTCTTCAGAGTTCTCTTGGGGTGTTGCCAAAACATGCAGAGGACTAGAACCCTACATGCAAGGCTCTGAGTAGCTGAGTAGGTTTTCCTCCCTCCTCGCCTGTCAAATTGTTTTCCAATTGTTTTTACTAATGCTTAGGAGGTAATTACACACACAACGTTATGTTTTAGTTAGCAAAAATGGCCTGCTGATAAATAAGCATACACTCTCAGAACGTGCTAATCATTCTTGCTCAAAGATGTAAAAACAGAGAAAATGAACAAAAATCACAGTGGTGAGAAGTTCTGGTAGGTATGTAAAGACGAACGTATACTTTTCCAAGGGCTCGCCGAGTGGCTCAGTTGGTTAAGAGCTCGCTCAAGAGTGTGAGCTCTGAGCAACAGGGTCCCCGGTTTGATTCATGGCCTGAGCTGAGCTGCCACTGAGCTGCCAACAGGTGGCAGGATGGCTAAGCTAAAAAAAAAACACACAAAAAAAGTGGATTCCAATTACCCAAAGTGCATCCCAAATACAAAGGTTTGTTTATTTCATTCATATTAAGTTAGGACCAAAAATCCTAATGGTTTTGAATGTCCCTAAATAGCGAAAGTCCTAAAAGTGGACCAGCTTACCTTTAGATAAGCAACTTGCAATATATAGGCAAGTGTGTGAGTGTGTGTGTGTGAGTGTGTGTGTGTGTGTGTGTGTATTCATACATAAATATAATATCAAACATAAAATTCATACATAAATATAAAATCAAACAAAACCAGAAGCAACTAGAATACTATCTAAATCAAAAAGCAACACAAATAAGCACTCCATTTTTACTAACATATTTAGATAGCCAAAAGTGCAGGATCTCCAAGAGAAACACCTGAGGAAATCCTCAGCTGGAGAAAGTTAGCATAATATGTCTTGTCCAACTCCTTTAAGAGATTAGTAATCTCCAAGGAAGCCGGTACCCTGAGTCACATAAGAATTCTAACACAGGGTAAGTCCCATTTTCTCTACTCTAATGTGGGTCAAGAGGTGAACAGATAATGTATAATAGCCAAAGGCTTTTAAAATTGTGCTTGATTACATTTTTCCTTATATGACAACATAAGCCATATAGAGTAACATATCAAAATCAAAATTTTGATATACATCCAGAAATAAAAAAGCAGCTGGTGGTCATTTGCATACATTATTATACAGTAACAACCTCACTATGTAGTTGCTAGAACACAATCTAGCTGAATAGAGGAAGAAAACTAGTATTAAAAAACAGAAAAAAACCTACCAAGTACATTTTTAAACTCTTATGGCTCCCAATTATTTACCTCAAATTAGAGATTGCAGTAATCTACATACCTGAAATACAGATTTAAGTTAAGAGCAATTGCAGAGTTGGAGGCGCTGACAATCACTACAACATCTAGGTCTTGAGACACTTTCAGTGAAGTAAAGGAAGACATCTTGGTTGGCTCCTGTTGCTGTTCATTACACATATCTTCTTGGTGAAGTGCTAAATCCACATGAGCTGCATGTCTACCCTCCACAATGTCAAATATGTCTTCAAGTTAGAGTTAAAGAAAATGCCAGTCTTAAGTATGCCTAACCATTTAAACCATAGGAAGGCTACGGACTTCATTGCTCCACCTTGTAGGTATAACAACAGGACACTGAGGTTGCCCCATCACAGTAACCAGATGACTATGAAGTTGGTGGCCCAATAAACCACCTGATAGAATTCATTCAACAATACTTGCTGAATACCATTCTGTGCCAGGCCCTGAGACACTGGTAATATTTTTCCACTAGTGTTCTACAACAGTGCTGTCCAAGAGAAATATAACGTGAGCCACATTTGTCATTATATTGGGTTGTCGGGAAAGTCATGATGTAGTTTTTCTATGTTTTTCATTGCAAAAATGCGTCATGACTTTTCCGACAACCCAATAAATTCTCTAGTAGCCTATTTAAAAAGTAAAAAGAAACCAGTAAACCTAATCTTAATATATTTTATGTAATGTATCCAAATATCATCTCAATATGTAATCAATATAAAAAATTGAGATAGTTTCCATCTTTTTTTCATAAAGTGTGCAAAATCTGGTATTTTACACCTATGGCATATTTTAATTTGGACACTAAATTTTCACTAAAAATAAATGATCTCTATTTAGACTTCATAAAATTTACAATTGAGAGCTTGGAACAACCAAGTTGTTCCAAACATACTTAAAAGTTCTCCAATAGCTGAATTAAGCATCATATTTTAAATCTGAATTAAATAAAATTAAGAATTTAGTTCCACAGTCATGCTAGCCAATTTCAAGAGTTCAAAAGCTACATATGCCTAGTGTTATGTTGGACAACACAGTTCTATAACCTGTCAACAAAAATGAAGTTAATCCAATTATTTATGACATTTTTGAAAGAAGTTTTAACATGGGCTGGTATATCTAAAATAGAAAAACTATTCCTTTAATTTATAATGACCGTTCCAAAATCGCATAACGGGTCATTTTTCAAGCCTTTGAAATAGTTTTACTGATGAGCTATGGATCTGCTAGAGACAAGAAATCCATAATATTTTCTAAAATAAATTAAAAGTGTTTAAGCAAACTGTATGATTCACTAAGATGACTGAATCATTAGCAGTAAGAGGTGGATTATATTCATACATGAAGAAGTATATCACAAGCAGTCATCTAAATCCTTCCTGGAACAAGCACATAGATATTTAATAAGCATATTTGAATAAATGGGTAATGCGGAGCATATACAATTTAAAAATAACACAAATAAGTTGGATAATTATGACTATGAAAAAACATATATACACTGGAAAATAGTTGAATGGAATATAAAATAATATAGTTGAGTATTTTAAGTTCATGAAGATCTTTTTTCCTGAAAAGTTGTACTGAAAAACTAACCATTTACCTACACCCCAGTTCCCTAAAACTAAAAGCCTAAAAGGGTTCATCTTTATAGGTAGGTAGTTTCCTCCCCTGCATGTCAACATCTTTACCACCAAGGATACAGATCCAGCCTAAACTACTCAAAACAAAAAGAATTCCTCTGCAGAGCTGCGTGTCAATAATCCTGTCCACTGCCTGTGCAGGCAAGGGTAACGTGAAACAGTTGAGTACTCTAATCTCAGCATCTCTTTCAGGAAATATAATGCATAGGACGATACATTTGTTGATGAACAATAATGATGTGTTATTATGAAATGACAGAATTCGCAAAGATAAAAAGGAAATACCTATGAAACAAAAGAACAGTATTTCAAACTCACTGGTCATGATTTTACAAAGGGTAAATTTGACCTTGTAAACATAACACAAACAGGTAAAACCAAAAAAGAAATAGCACTTAGCTCAGTCCAACTCTAGGCAGTTATTATTCGTACCCACCTAAGCAAATAGCCATTGGAAGATAGGTAAGGGGATGAAAATAGATGGTCTACAATGTCTCTATTTCTTCTGTTTATGGAAAACCTGACAGCACACCAGATGATAATTAAAAAAAAAAAACCTACTTACACATGGTACTCCACAAGAACAATCACAGACTATTTTTAAAAATGAAGAAGAAGGAAACTTAAAATCAAGGGCAGCAAGTATGCTACTGCCTTAAAAATAGAAGCCCAAGTGCTTTGATTTCTGCTCCCCACAGCCCTCAAGATGGGACATAGTAAATACATAGCTCTATAACCAGTCTAGATCAGCACTATCCAATAGAAATATAATTTAGCCACAAATGCAAGCCACACATGTAATTCTAAATTTTTTAGTAGTTGCATTGAAAAAAGAAACAGGTGAAACTAATTTTAATACATATTATTTACCTTATATCCAAAATATCATTTCAACATTTAATTAATACAAAAACCTATATTAATGAGATGTTTTACTTTTTTTGTGCTAAGTCTTCAAAATCTGGTATGTGCTGGACACTTAAAGGGCATCTTAATTTATATTAATCGCATTTCAAGTGCTCAATAATCCCATATGGTTACTGACTAGTATTGGACAAGACAGATCTCCTAACCTGAGTTCACCTCTGTAAGAATTTGTCCTGAAACACATAAAATTACATAGTAATGTCACAGATTGAAACATGCTGAAAGACCACCTATAAATACTTACTGATATTTTGATCTTTAATGAGCTTTTGCAATGTCTCCTCGCTATAGCTATACAAAATGGTTCCATCACATCTTCCATCTTTCAAATCAAATTCATAGATGAACAGTTCATAATTTTCACTAAGAGCGAGCAGTCTGGGCTTGTCTGTTGGTGTGCCTCTGTTGTGAGAATCCTCCCACACAAAGCTAAGGAAAAAGTTTAGATTGTTTATTATATTCTATATCCACAATTTTTACCCACAATGGTGAGGGTAGAAAGGCAGATTGAGTCAAGAACAGTTCTTTAGTTCACCTGGTAGCATTAATTCTAGATCCAACTTAAGAGAGTGTAAACTGCTCTAGGACTTCCCGCCTCTGCCCTCTCACTTCCTACTTCTTCCCCTTCAGCCCCCTTCAAGCCAACACAAGAATATAGAAGTGGATGGTGAAAAGGGAGCATGGAGCAAGAAATGACAGCTGCTTTTATTCCTTTATCCTAAATCCTAACTGATGATATGTTTAAAGGAACTGGTATGATCGAGGATAAGTTTCAAAAACCAAATATGCATATTATTTATATGAAGTGGGGCTCACAATTAACAAAATAGGTCTTGCTAACTTAAATGCTTTCAACTACTTTTAAAAAGAAAGTGTTTATGTGCATTAACAGACCTGAAGACTCCAAAATGGTATATTACAGAATAGCTGTCCAATACAGCTTTTCGTGATGGAAGTGTTCTAGATATTTGCACTGCCCAATACAGTAGCCAACAGCTACATGTGGCTACTGAGCACATGAAATACGAGTAACACAATTGAGGAAATGAATTTTAAATTTTAAGTCACATGTGGCTAATGGCTACCATGCTGGACAGCACAGTTACAGAATATTTAAGGCAGTGTAATGTCATACCAACACTGGCTAACAAGGACGGAAAGACACTAATGATGCTACAGCTTCAAGTTAAATAACATTAAATTACATTTTAAATTTTAAAGGGCCCCAATTTTGAAAACAATGCAATGGAATGAGATGAGGCTACCATGCTGATAAAGTTTCATCTTTTTAAAAAAGCTTTTTTCTACAGAAGTAGTAAGTTTTATCTCTACAAAAATTGGAACTGGTGCTATATGCCCTTACTAGAGAAAAAGATTAACACATATTTCTGTCCTTATACCTAGACTGAGTTTTCATTAACGCCCAATTCCTGTTTACACTGAAAATTTGGAAAACAATGTAAGTATGGAAGATGTTCAACAAATTAAGATATATTTAAAAGGCAGAATACTGTGACATCATTAGCACATGGACTATATTTCCATGTGGAAAGACAGGAGATTTTCAATGAAAATAAAGGACAGTGATTTCAACAATATAAAAAGGACTATAAACACTTTGAAAAAAGTAGGAAGTAAACCCTGAATAGTATAAACGTCCCTATTTTTACCCTTGAAGTATTTTAATTGAATTAAAATTCAATGCAACTCTAATAAAAATGCTCTTCTTGATCCACGCCCTCCCCCTGAATTTCACACAGTAGCTTATGAATGCCATTAATTCACGTGTGTATGCTTCTTCTGCTAAGTTCTCAAACACCTCAAGAGTTCTGCTTTTCTCTCTGCCTCATTCCTGTCTTTATGAGGCTGTGTTCATCAGTACTTAATACTGTTTACTTACTTCCCCTAGGGAAGAGATTCCCCTTCCTAGCAACTAGAGATGGGGAATAAAGACTCAGTACAGGTTAAAGCACTCATGGATTTAACAAGTGAATTTCTACTGTCAGGCAGTTATAGGGCCTGGAGATTCCAAGGTAAGACACCTCGTGGCTACTCAAAGTCTTCAAGAGGAGAGCGTTCCCAAAATGTTTTCTATTATAAAAAGAGCCCAAAGACTCAGAGGGCACTACCAAACTTAATGATGTGAAAACTGTAAGCCCTGGACTGAGTGAGAGTTACAGAACTAGAAAGTAATACATGATTGTAATTATGTTTTTTTCTTAATTCCCAAATCATGCACACTTCACATGTAAGAACTGTCTTATTCAACTTTTTAGGCACTGCTCCTAGGTAACAACAGTAATTGCGTAATAAACATGTGAGTGAATAAATGAACTAGGCTCTGTCCTTGAAGAAAGGGGGGAAAGCCCATATGTGAAGGAACTCCCTCTTTCAGGGGCAAGAAAAAGGTTATCAGGATGATTCCAATTAGAGATGATTCCCCAGCTGGTATCTAATGGGTTTGACTTAAAGAAAATGGGCAAGGAGCACAGCACAATGACGATTAACAAACCTGTGTTGAATGAATAAAAGAAATCAGCGCCTAAACTGGGGCCCATTCCAGGTTCGCTGCCGCTAGCCAAGGGGGATACCGTCTCTGCCCACCCGAAGCCGGGAAGCGAGGGTACAGAGAAGCACCAAAGCGAGGGGCAAGTTCCAACGGCGTTTCCCGCGGCTGTCATTCCTCTCCCGCTACCTCCATGCCAGGAATGGGGTATTGGGGCCAGCCGAGCTAGTGCTCTGGGCACCCCCTACGCTGCCCAGCCCTCCTGCAGCACTTACTGCCGAAAGGGGCCGTCGAGGCAGCAGCCAACCCCGCCCCGGCCGCCGGGCGCCAAGGAAAGCACTTGAAGGCTGCCTGCAGTTGTCAAGCTCCCCAGAACCTCTTGCTTTCTGTGCATCAGCGCCCGGGATCCCAGCCGCCCCGTGGCCTCGGCGGGGACCGGCACCAACAACATCGGCAGAACCCGCTCCATGGTTTTAGGGCTGCAGGTACCACCAGCAGCGGCACTTCCAGACCACTTCACCGCAGCCATCTTTGGTCCGGCCGCTTCTTCCGGTCACCTGCGACCAACTGTGTCCTGAGCATGCGCAGTGTAGCCAACCCGCTCACTGCCTCGTGACTCCCGGAGCGATTACATTCCCTGCCTGTAGAGGCCGATGCCAGACAACCACTCCAGCAAAGCCACCTCTGTGTTTGCCTCAAGCCCACTGTTGACTCTGAAACAGTTGAGGGCCTAATTTAGCAGGCTCATGCAGGCTGTAGCAGGTGTGCTCCCTCTGTGGTATTACCCTTTGCTGCCACCTAGCTATTGGAACCCGGTTCCTGTCTCTTCTTTAGTGTGTTATTTTTATGTTTGCAGGCCCTGGGGGTGATGCAATCTTCTCTGTAGTGTGGACCGATCCATCATGAGGGAGTTGACCTGAGTGTTGAAGTTAAACAATATCCATTGTAATGGGCAGGGAAGAAGGGGAAGGGGTGGAGGTGATGGACTTCCCTTTTCATTTTCTCAAGAAAGTATGATCATCAGCAGAAAGAGGGAGACGGAAAGCAGCAGAGGTGGTGAGATGAGGTGTGGAGTACGCATTTTGGAAAGAACCCTAATAGATGGCAGTATCTTTCTTATCAACACATTCTTTTCCACAATCAAATAGGGTCACAAGGCCACCAGAGGTCAGCTCCTCCGTTTGTGCTTTGACTCCCATCCTCCTCTTGTTCTAGAGCTTTGTGTCTGTAAAATTATTTTTCTTCTGCATTGTTTTCTCCCCCTTTATTGAGGGTACTTTCATTACCAGGCAGACAAGCTATAACATGTCATTCCTAAGAAAAGTAACTTTCCTTAACCTACATCAACACCTACCTACTGTCCAATTTCTGCTTCCCTTTTAGAAAATTCCAAGTTGACTCTTCTTGGTCAGAAAAACTTGCTCCTTCCTCAACCCCTCTAATGAGGCTAATCTGTCTACCAAAACTGTCCCTCAAGATCGATGATCTCCATATTGCCACAACCAGCCATCATCTCTATCATTCCTCACTCCTTTCTTAAAGAACTTTCTGTTCTATTTTGATAACACCACTTTCTAATTTTCTACCTATTTGACTGATAACTCCTCAGTCTGCTTTTCTTCCTACATAATCTCTCCCTCTCTCCTACCTTTAAATAACATCTATATGCTGATAACTCCCACTTTTGTGTCTTTATCCCTGACCATTTCCTTCAACTCCAGACTACTATTTAACTACCTACTTGATATGTCTACTTGGATTTCTAATAGGACTCAAATTTAAAGTGCCTAAATTTGATTTTTAACTCCCACCCCAAACCCATTTTTCTCATTTTCCCCACTTCAGTATGGGACACCCACCATTCAACTCTACCTGGGAGTCAGCCTTGATTCTTAACCACCACCCTTATTCAGCCCATCAACATTGCCAATCAGTTCTTACTTTCTTCCAAGACTTATTCTAAATCTCTGCTTTCTGTCACCACTGCTCTTCAATTCTTGCCTGAGCTGTTGGGAAAAAAACCTCTGAACATTTTTCTCTGCTTTCTCTTGTTTCACTAACAATTCAGCCGAGTGATCTTCTAAAAAATGAAGTCATGTCATATTACTTTCCTGTTTAACATTCTTACTTCCCATCAGTTAAAATTCCAGATTTTTAAAAATGGCTTACAGATTTATACCCTTCCTACCTCTCTCCAACCTCATCACCCTCCCCTCTTATCTGTGTACTTCAGCCACACTTTTTTTTGTTTTTTGTTTTTTTGTGTTTTTTTTTTTGTCTTTTTTTGAACACACTTTGTTTTCTTGAAACACCAAGTTCATTCTTGCTTTTGGGGGCTTTGTGCTCACTAGTGTCTCTACATGAAATACTTTTCATTTCAGCTTAAATGTAACCTCTATTGACAGGCCTTCCTGGACCATTCCATTCCAGTCACTCATCACCCAGTTTTGTTTTCACCACGGTGTTTATCACTAGTTAATGTTTTGCGTCAGTCCCTGTTGCAACAGAATGTAGGCTTCAGAAGATCAGGGAATTTTCCTTGCTCACCACTGTTACCTTACCACCTAAAATGGTGCCTGGTTGGTAAAAGGCACTCCAGTGTTTGCTGACCAATGCATAACCTTGTTCATCAAGTTAAATCAAACACTTCATATCCCAAGGGAGATATTTATATCCAACCCTCTTCCTCATTTATCATGCAGGCAAGCTACATCATGTCATTCTTAAGAAAAGTAACTTCCCTTAACTTACATCAACAACTGCCTGTCAAATTTCTGCTTCCCTTTTAGAAAATTCCAAGCTGACTCTTCTTATAGTCAGAAAAACTCTTTAAAAAATGGCAACATTGAAGTAATTTCCAAGGTCATATTTTTGTTAGACTTTACAAAGCTCTATCCCTTATTTTAGGACATTTTTAGAGTATTCACACATAAGAAAATGGCTTTCATTTTACCTCTTAACTTACAAACAAGTTTCAACACATCATTATCTTATCTCTTTAATCATACCTTACTATGCCATGTCTTTTTAGGAATATTATTCAGGATTTTCAAGAAAGCATAAGTAAATGTTTGGGGCAGTGTCCTCCAATATATCAAGGCATGAGAAATGTCTTCAGACTCTTGGATCTCTATAGACATTGCCTGCACAGCTAGTGTCTGAAAACTTTTCCCAAATGTGTATATTCCAGAACAGGATCAGTAGATTGAGGCAAACCTACAAAGAGAACAGGTGTTAACTGCAAGCAATCCCATTTTCTAAAGTATTGGTATGATTTGATTAATATCTGACTCCAACAGACAGTAAATTCTGAGGACACAGATGACCTCCATGTTGTTCATGCTTATATTTTGAAACAGTTGTCCCTCAAATATTTCTTGATTGAGCACTTCAGCTTCTCAAATTAATTCTTGCCCTCAAATAGCTTACCATGATAAAGACCAAAACACCTGGGATTAGAAGGTTTGGCTGAAGAAACAGGCCTCAGGGCTCCAACTTGGAGCAGACTGGTGACTCAATAAATGCCAAAAAGCCTAGAACCACTTCTGAAAGCAAGATAACCTTCATATTCTTGGTTTAAAAGTAGAGAAGTGACAGAACCTAGACTGGGCTTGAACAAGGGGAAGGGCTATGACATTATTTCTGCCATCACTTACTTCATTGTAGTCTCCAGCTGCTGAACCAATTGTTTGTCCACATAGCGACAGAACAGGGGGAGAAGGTTGCTGGGGATGGCTAGGGGCTCTGCCAGAGAGGCTGTAGGCATCTGAGCTATCTCCCAGGTGATCAGAATCACTATGTCTGTCCTGGAGGGCAGAGAGGAAGAAATACATTAGAGTATTTGTATTTATTCAGGGAACAGATTCAAGGCCAAGATCCTTATTATCCTCTACACCACTATCACCCTCTATGCATGTAGCACTTGAGAACATTTGCACATTTGACATATGCCAGGGCAATGCTTCGTGCTTTACACATCTTTCTTATTTAATCTTCAGAACTCTATAAGTGGTTAGTACCATCATCCCTACATCCCTAGTTTATAAATGAGGAAACAGCCTAAGAGAAGAGAAGTAACATGCCTGAAAGTTACAGTGCTAATAAGTGACAGAGGCAGAATTCAGAACTAGATCTGTTTGCTCTAAAGCTTGTCCCCTTAATTACTATGTTATACTGCCTCCCATGGAAAAGGAACATTCTAGGGGACTATAGAAAAAAAAAAAAAAGGCAGAACAGAACAGCTACAACTCTGCTACTTTTCCCTTTGACCTCCTCTCCAACATTTGAAAACACCACTCAGGAAATATCTCTTCTGGCTCAGCCAGAGGTACTGAAATAATATTTACAGGTCTTTATGATCTTACCAAGCTGTATGATCACTGTTGGATTCTGCTAGGGAACAGTCCAGGCATACCAACTTCTCCCCATGACTCAGCAGGGCATACAGCAAAGATATTCCAAACTGCAAGTGATAAAGTGTCCAGTAAAATGAGCTCACCCTAAGCATTCAGTGCTTCCCTGGCTCTGTCTTCCCAACCCAAAGGGCAAGTTCATATGTACAAATGGAGACGAACACCCATAAAACTGTCAGGTTTACCCTAACTAGCCAGAGAACTCTCAGACCTTTCCAAGGGAATAACTGCTCTGAACTTTCCAAAAGCTTCTTCTGGAAAACTGATTAAATGCACACTCATGAGTTCTGCCCCCAGGAGTCAGACTCTGTAGATCAGGAATGGACCCAGGAATCTGACACAGGTAGTCTGTGGACCCCACTTTAAGAAGCACTGCTTTAGGCAAAGATCTTTGGGAACGATTCATAAGATAATCCACTGGCATATTAGGAGTTATCGGAACTTTCACATCTAGAGTCTCATCTTTCAAAACTTTATATCTTATATTTATTATGTACCTAACACTAGTATAGTGTTACATGTATATGACTTACAAACACACATATGAGTGATATGGTTCAGATTTTTTTTTTTTTTTTACCAAAAGGGATAAAAAAATAAAAAACGTTTGGTGACCTCTACTCTAGAGGTCCACACCAGCACCATCCTCAGGGGGTTTGTTAGGAAAGCAGATGCGTAGGCCCCACTCAGGTCTGCTAAATGAGATTCTGGGGGTGGGCCCAAGGAACTGGTGTTCAGTAAGCTCTCCAGGTTATCCTAATGCTCACTAGAAGTTGAGAAGCACTGCAGAGGATAAACTGGCGATATGAGAAGATTGCAGAGAGATGAAGACATTCCCTCATTTTTTCCTTACCAGTGATACCCCTGGAGGCTACCTATGGAAAGAAAAGCTTCCCAGGTATGTTACCTGATTCTGAAGCACTGCAGTGACTGGCCGCTCTGAGGAACCAGGTGGAAGCAGCATTAGTCCCTGAAGTCCTCGCAGGAGTTCATGGAAGGTCAAGTGACTGATATGTTTGCTCAGAGGTTGGAATAACATTTGTAGGGCCTGCAAGAAGGTCAGTGAGTGCCTCTCTGGCTTCATCTCTTCCTGCCTTGCCTCCAGTCCCTTTTCTTGCCGACCTGCCTTTGGCACCTACCTAGTCAGGTTATTTACCAGACCTATCACCACCCATGTCTCCCCACCCCTAACATTGGTCATTCAATATCTACTTGTTCTAAGGTGCCTTCCCTAAGAAAAGTAGATATGGGGTGCAACACTTATCAGGGAGTCCTTATTTTGTCACCCCCTGCAGCACACTCACACCTGTGCAACCAAGGCCTGTGTGTTTTCTTTTGATCATTGCAACCAAAGATGATCAGCTGTTCTGATAGTTTATTCTGTCACTCCTTCACCTGGGGATGGCAGCATTGGCATCCCTCACTGCCCAACACCTTCTCTGGCATCTCTGGGGGCAAGGACTGGGGGAGGAGGAAAGATGCCTAGCCCATTCATGAAACCATCCTCTCCTCCACTTAATGCCACAGTACCTGATCAGCTGCATCTCTCCTGACCAGGAGGGGTAGATGGTGGGTGATAGCCAGAAGAAGGCTAACAGCCTGATCCTGGGGCAGGAAGGAGAGCAGCCGGGCCACCAAGGCTTTCCCCTTCCTCACGGAGAGCACCTGCAGGAAGCCATCTGCCGCCTCACTGCAAGTGAGACAGGAGAGCATCTTCAGGGCTCTGCATAGAGGAGAGGGCTACATGCCAGAAAGGAGGGGCTGAAGCAAAGCCAATGTCTTCGCCGATTTTCCCTTATTGGGCCGAGGTGTGACCCTCCCATGCTCACTCCAGATTCTGCTCCTGGGTCTTTAAGGCCTGGAAGAGCTTCTCAACCTGGTTTCTCTGCTGCTCAGAGTAACAGGGCTGTGCAGGCCCATCCTTCTGGCCCTCCTCTATCTCTAGTAACTGAAGGAACATCTGGGAATTTGAGGGTGGGAAAAGAAGAAAAGGTCAATTTGAGCAATATCCCATTTTCAATGGTAAGATAGGAGCTCATCCCTAAAGGAGCTGATCTCACCTTCTCAATCCGGTACAACACCTGAAGCCTCTGACTGCTTGCAGCTCCTATCTCCTAGGAGAAAGAGTCCCCAGCCATCAGCCACACTGCCACAGTAGCAGCCCAGGCCTATGGCAAGCTAAAAATTGAGCTGGAAAGGCTAACACAAAGTCTGATCACAGTTCTTCCCCACTCTTATAGGTCTCAATCTGAATGGAAGCACAAGAGTGCTCCAGACCTTTCTCCAAAACGGGGGAGAGAAAAAGGTTCTGGGAAGATATTGCTCCTACCAGCTCTTGAGCTCCATGAGGTACAGCATCAATAGCTCGGCGAGGGCTAAAACACGTTGACACAGCTACCTGGCCCAGGGAACCCTCGATTCGAACCACTGCATGAAAGGAGTTAGGACAGGCATATTTCCCTCCCCTTTCCATCCTCTGTCCACCCAGATGGTCGGCCCAACCCCGTGGGTCAGCCCTGGTCCTACCTGACTCGTAAGCCTCTGCCTTCTGAATGTAAGGTGTTACCAGCTTGAGGGACTCAACCTTGCTCCTTTGCCCAAGTAGCTCTTCATCTGCCTGCTTCTTCTCTAGTTTCTGATAATATTTCTGAATCCATGAAATGGAAAAATGTATACTCATCTTCTGAACTTAGAATTAAAGTTCTCAAGTGCAACCTCTTAACACACACTATAGCGTCCATTCCAGGAACAATCCTGGCAACTTAGGCCCTTTTGGCAATCATTCTAAAGGACCTGAAGTGCCCTGGGCCTTAAGCCACCTGTCCTGGGATCCCTATACTAAGGACTTGAAGAGCCATGTACCACTATCAGGTCTGATGCAAAGGCAGAGAGCAAGGTGGAGAGCCAGGAACCAACCTGCAACCTTGCTGCATTCCTTGTTCCCAAGTTACACACTGCTCACCACATATCCTCCCCCTCTCCATTTTAATTTGGTGACTCTACCTGTGCTTTCCAAAATTGGAGTTATCTGATGGCATGAAGACCATCAGCAGCTTGAAGTACAGAGATAGCACTATTTGTCAACTGACCTCTAGGATTTGCTCTGAGGATTTGCTCAGCAGCTCTAATATTTTCTTAAAGAAATATGTAAAATCCCAAGCTAAAATAAAGCCATTGACTATGAGCCAAACAAGGATTTCAATAAAGTTCCTTCATTTAGGAGCAGTGTCAAAAGGCACGAATTGACAGGAGGAGGAGAGTTTTCAAAGTGGGGTGGAAAGGAAGAAACCAAATAGGAAGGAGATAAAGGTGGGAACCTTTGTAGCGGGCTCATGGAGGTTGAGGAGAAAGTGAAACACAGCTTAGATCATCCCAAAACCCACAGACAGTATTTGCCCCATAAATAAAGGGGAGACAGGAAGCAGGAGGAAGACTCAAAATGTCTACCAATATTGGTTCAATTCAAAATATCGAATCCTACTATTTATAAGATCTCTGCTTTAGATATAAAAGAGGAAAGTAAATAGATAAATGTTTGTAACAACACATTTCTAATGATTCACAAAAGTATATAAAGGTGAAAAAGTCCATATTTCTGGGCTGAATAGGGAAAATTCTTGGCAAAGGGTGGAGACAAAACCTCAGAGTGTGTTTGGGGAATTGTAAATAACCCCCATTTGGCTGAAGTATAAGAGAATAGAGGGGTGAATGAGGCTGGGATATGAACTTCAGAAATATGGCCCCTATCCTAGAGTAGTTGTCTTTCCCACCTGAATGGACATGGCCCCTATGAGATGAAGAAAGGATCTGAGAGGGTCTGTGGAATCCAGGCCCATTTGATCCCAAGGTCAGAGGCTGGGAAGAGCATGTGGGGCTCACCTGGTAGTAATAGTCATCCAGGCTGGGGTTCTCACTGTGCAGCTGAAGCATCTGCACTTTTATCACCCAGTCCTTCTCTTCTCGGGTCATGAGGTTAGCATAGGGGTCTGGCTGCTGAGACCAAGGCTTCTTGGCTGGGGGACTTCAAGCCAGGAGGAACATCCCTTTAGACCTACCTACCTCTGCCACAGTCAACTTCCCAAGATGTGGTGTGTCTGGGAAGGATGGGAGAGAGTACAGACGTGGGCAGCACTACAAGAGTCCAAATTGTGCAGGGACTTTAGGGAAATACCCAGCATGCAAATGAGCTGCCCTCAACCCTGCTCCTCTAGGTTTTACCTTGGTGTTCTACTCTGCTGCTGCAGCTGCAGGATCCGTTGGTGCAGAGGGTGGAGCTGGGTCAGATTACTGGGAAGACATAGAAAGAAACTTGGGCTGGCTGAAAGCAGCTCTCAGCTCCCTACCCCCTCCATTCATTTAGCCTCTGGTAACCTCAGTTGGGTATCTAAGGGAACCCTATTTGTTTATGTGCCTCCCAAAAGACAGCCACATGGAACATCACAACCCTAGCTCAACAGGGCTCACATTCCCCTCCGAGACACACTTTTCTACAACTTGGCTGCAGGAAATCTTGACGCAGTAGAAAACCACTTAGCCTGACATTTGGGAGTTCTGAGTCCTAATCTCAGTTCTGCCATGCCAACTACCCCTCAAGTAAGTTCTTTTAGTCTCCCTGGGCCCCCATTTCCTCATCTGTGAGGGAAGAAGGGATTGGACTCTATATCGCACACTTATTAAGTTTCTGTAAGTATTTTTCTGTGGCAGCTGGTAGAGTGGCCCCCACCCCTCCTCAGCCACTACCTCCTAAGAACTCCAAAAAAGAGCTCTGACTGTCATGGATGCTGGGGTACCTGGCACCCTGAACCAGTACCTGAACCTACAGGACCATGAAGTCGATGGGCTGCAGAAGAGAGGTGGGTCTGGTGAGAGCAGTCGAGGACCAAAGTGCCGCACTGGAGAGCTGGTGCTGGGAAGGGTAGGCCGGAAAGGACCTGGCGACAAGTAGTCCAGGGTCTAAGAGAGAAATTAAGACATCTGGGAGAAGGGCATACCCACCAACAGAAAGCTGTTTTTGCTGGTCAGTGCCTTCCCTGCCTCTACATTCCCACCTGCCTTTTCCCTCAAAAACCTCACCAAATATTTGGCCTTCTTGGGGTATGTGAAGTCACCAGACTGGGGGTCCTGCCCTTGTTTTCAACAGAGTTTGTCACATCCTAGGGAGCAGCTCTTCAGTCCATGGCAATGTGGGGGCATGTGCTTTTTCTACTATTTGCTGAGTCAGCACCTCACCCTATCCCCTCTGTGAGGCTTCTCTCAGGCTCTTGGGCCTTCAGCTGCTGGGACAATGCCTCTCTTTTCTGAATCATCTGCAGCTCTCCTCACAGCTGAATTTCCTTCTTGTTCTCCCTGCAAGATTTCTTGCAATTTCCCCACCCCAGACCATGTTTCCATTATGCAGTTAATTGAAGGGCAGGTGCTCTTTCTAGCCCTAAGCTCAGCACTGCTCATCTGCTGAAATGAAGGGAAGTGGAAGTAGGGGTCTAGTTTGTCCTTCACATGAATGGTCAGTTGTCCCAGTACCACCTTTGTCATTTACCAAGCTTCTCTACATGATGGGCGTCTCCCAACTCCCATACCCATACCTTACCCAGAGCAAGGTCAAGAGCAGACTGAACATAATGAAATTAGGGACACTTGGTATGCTCCTTCTCAGCACCGAGTCACTTTCTCTCATGCTGGGGACTGGAGCAATTCACCTGGCACAGAAAGTACAAAGAGGCAGGTGACATCCCCAACACACCACGGGCCTTGATTCCAGGGGAGCTGAGAAGACCTCTCTGGAATGGGAGGGAAGAAAACCGAACTTGAAGGAGCCCCTGTGGTGTCTTCCACACTCATCTGTGTTTATAGAGGGTGAGGGCAGCAAGGCCAGCTGTTCCCAATCGTCAGGATAGTGGCAGCCTGGTCCTCCCTCATAATTAAAGTCAACTGGGCCAGGACCCTTCTCCTGCTCTGAGGGGAAGCAAGACTGGTATCTCAGGAGAAGCGAAACTAGTATGTCAGGAGTAGTTTGAAGGGAGTATCTGAGTCACTTCATTTCTACATGGGAATCCTTGTCTCTCTCCACTGGTTGTGGGAATCCAAGAGAATAAGTAGCAGGAATGGACTGCTGAGACACAGGGGCCCAGGGTCAAAGGTGACTCACCTTCAGCACGAGGAGCAGGGCCAGCTCCTACAGGTGATATACAGCCCTGCTTAGACCTGGTTTTTAAAGTGAAGACAGCATCAGAAACTAGTGGGGGACAGGAGGAAAGAGGGAAGGAAGAAGCGAGTCCCTACTTGGGTTCAAGCCTGACATAGAAAGTGTTAACCCAGAATTTATCTTAGAAAGCGGTGGACAAGAGGAGAGGGATGTTTAGTAACAGTTCATGAGCTGAGGCAGTTCCGGACAACCGCCCTCTCGCCCACCCAGCCCTGGTACCTGGGTGTTATGGACGGCACTGAGGACAGCTGGATCCCCAAGATCCTTTTCTTCCTCCTCCTCCTCCTCCAGGCCCCGGGCTAAATCAGGATCCAGATTCTCCTCTTCCTCATCTTCATTTTCTTCCTCCTCCTCTAATTGGGAGGCAGACACCAGCTCCTCCTCAGGGCTACAGGGCTTTTCTGGGCCTTGGCTTGAGTGGGGGCCTGAAGAGAAAGTAGACGGAGGCTCAGGTGTGAGAAGTCTTATCTAGAGAGGCTGCTTCTCAGAAGCACTTGTGCTCATGAGCCGTCTCCAGCACCACCTTCAAATAATGCCTCCTGTTCTAAGGGCTCAACTCAGCCTCATTACCCCACGGACCCCGACCTGTCCTCCACTGGAGCAAATGGAACCTGGCAGATGCCAGACACCTTCACTTACTACATCCGCTCTTCAATGACCTCATTCAGTACCAACAGAGGTTTCTCCACTGGCTCTTCTCCACCTAACAGCCCTTTCTGTGCCTCTTTAATTAACCAAGTTCCAGCTGCTCTGACTCACTGTAATATAACCCTACTGTGCACCTGATACTTTACATGTGTACATTCATTTCATGCCCACAACAATAATACAAGCCTGTTATTGATAATTTCACTATGAAGGCGAGGAAAATGGGGCCCAAAAAAGTGATCTTCGTCACCCAGCATGATGTAGCTATCAAGTAGGAGGGTTTGGAATCACTCCCAGAGATTCTGGACACCCAGGCCCATATCCACCCACTGAATCAGAAGAGCTAGTTTTGGCACCCCTGGGCTTTTTATCCAGATACCATGGCCCACTTAGTGATACCTTCAAGATATTTCATCTTTGCAGGCTGGCAGACTTCCTCTGTGGCTGCTTCCTCTGGTGAGAGATCATTGGCAGCTTTTGGAAGGTAAACCTGGGAAGGTAAACAGGGAAGACACCCAGAGGTACCCTCCTCCTCAGTAAGGATGGCATGGCACCCTAAAACAGCCATGGTCATCCCCCAGCAAGGTTATCAGAGAATCACTGGCCCATGGTCTTGAGGAGCAGGACCCTAGGTTCTCAGGCTGCCCTAAATCCCTACCCTTTGACCTCACTGTCCCGGCTCTAGGAAGCTGTCCTTCAAACAGACAGAAGTGAGAGACAAGGCTAGGAGTCGAAGAAGGACGTCCACACACGGAGAAGGACACCAGCCACCATCTGTGCACAGCAAGGGGCACTCACAGCTGCCTTGGTGCTGATACCCACCACTTGACTGTTGTCCTTTCTGCTTGGGTTAGCCATGGCAGCCCAGCCAGTGCTGGCTTGCTGCCCCTGGCTTTAAGAGTCCCAGCCCCTCCCCTGCTTTCGTGTTAAAGGGCCAGCATCCCACAACCTCGAGGTCTTGGTAGAAATATGAGAACATAATCTTATGATAAAGAAAACCCTTGAAAGGGCGAGAGAAAAAAAACTGCATTTTTAACCATTCGGGGTTTGAGTACAGTTTATTGGGATCGCTATTGGGGAGCAGATATTTTTAAAAAGGATCCCTGTTTTCTACACCCTTCATAGGAACTTTGTGAAGTTGTTTCCTTCAATCCCTAGGTTTTGCTCCATCAAAATTGGGTAGGACAACTGGTGGATCCTAGGGAGATTAACTAGCAACCCAGTTCTCGGTGCTTTAGGGTAGCACACTTGTGGATCCACCTGGGCATGCTTACCCTTCACTGTGTCCCGTGAGCCTAAGGTTGCTACCCAGCTCTAACTGATGAGGGACCCCTCTGAATTTAGAAGCCAGATCTTCAAGGTAAAAACACTTCTGATGAGGTACACAGACAATCTTGTATCTTCTCGGCTGCTCTAATGGAAAACTGGTTCGGAGGCTCAGGAGTAAAAAGAAAACAAAACAAAAACAAGCATATCAGAACTGCTGGTAGACAAAACTTAAGGCCCACCTGAGCCTCATCTAACAGCCGAATGATCCTAGGTGAGGTGTCCACAGCTGAACTCCACATGATTTTGTAGAACGTGTGAATAAAAATAAAAACAAAGCTAATTTCTCTACATCAAAAAGGCAAGTTAGGACCCTATCGTCCTGATTATAGAACGATGATTCTTGGTGCCTCCAAATATTTGGCTCAAAATTTTGCTGTAGGTCAGAAGTATACAGGTGAGGAGGGGAAATTCTAAGTAGCTTGAAAGTTAAAACTCTTCAAATACCTGAATTGGGTTCAGGCCTTTTTTTGTAATGCTTTTCAGCTGTTTCTCTCAAGAAGTTCCAAATAATTCACTTTGGTATTATTAACAAAAGGGCCAAATGGTGAATTTCAGTATCCCAGGTGATTTATTAAGTAATTTATTAGGTTGTTATAGAGACCAAGTCTTAGGGAGAGTCACAGGCTGCATGCAGATTTTCACTCTGAAGGGACTTTCTGTACCGGGACTAGCACCACAGCAGGTGACGTAGAGCTTAGTCTTCAAGGTAACAACCCTGCCTTGGCTGTTTGAAGTTTCACTTGGGACCTAGTGCCTTCTGTGAAAGTCCCCTACCTTTGCCTGAAGTCTTATATGTACCGGGGTGCCAAAAAAGTGTATACACAGGATTTATAGTCATCTTTTATTATCGGTATACATTGAGTATTACAATTTTAATACACTTTTTTCCTCTCTTAAAATGTGGATACATTTTTTTTTGGCACCCTCTGTATATACCGGTCCCTTAGGTTTTCTAACTTTCTGCCATAGTTTAACTGTGCTAAGTTTAAGCCAAGCCTGTGCTAGGCTTGGGGTACAGCACTGAATAAGGCAGATGCCACCCAGGCCTCTTAGAGTTTCCTAAAGAATAAGAAGTACAGACAGGTAAACAGGATTGTTGGATTGGATAAAAGGTCCATTAGAAACGTTTACATTTGCTGAATAAACCACCTAGGACTGGGGCAGCCCAGCTGGGACACCCTCTTGTTTCGAGACCTGGAACTTTCTGCTCTAATAAAACTATCCTCTGCTACAAAAAAAAACACCAAACTAAAACTAAAACAAAAAAAAAACACCACAAAAGTAACACCTAGGACTTTCCCACTTGTATGGGGAGATTATTAATCCATTGTTTCAGTTTCTCTAATGGCTGTAGATCTCTTTCAGTTTTTAGTTTCTTCATGAGGTTGTGTTGTTAAATCATACAATCTTCTAGAAATGTGCCCATTTCTTTTTCTTTTTTTTTTTAAGATTTTTATTGGGGAATTGGGGGATGGGAACAGCGCTGGGGAATTTGGGGAAGGGGAACAGACAAGTTGCTGTCCTTTTGTTCTCAGTCTAGTTGTGGAGGACATTGCTTCACTGGCCCAAGTTGGCACCATCACTTTG